GGCGCAGGCAGAGCACGGGCTCGCTCCTCCTCCGGCTCTGCAAACTCCAGCGGCCCCGCCAGCCTCCTGCTTTTGTTTAGCTCGGGCTCAGGACTCCAGAAACACACACAGAAAAACCACAGCCTCGGAGGAGGAGGAGCTGGAGGAGAAGGAGGAGAGAGGAGGGGGCCGCGGAGGGGGAGGGGCGGGCGAGAGCAGGGGGAGGGCCCTGGAGCCACGCCCCCTTCCACGATTGGCCCTTCGCGAGAACACGGGCCACGCCCCCTTTCCTTGATTGGCCACCGGAGAGAAGACGGTCCCTCCTCCCCCGCTTTCCTGCCTGCGCCTCCTCTTGGGCCTCCTTGGGCTCCTCCTCGCCCGGCGCCCTGTCAATCAGGGTTCAGAGGTGGGCCGGGAAGTAGGCCGAGCTAACACCCTGTCTCCGGTCCTTAAAGGTGCAATGGTGCCCTGGGCCCTGCTCACTGCCCACCCCCACTGTTCTTGCCTCCCTCTCCCGGGTCCTGTCCCCGAGAGAAACGTGTCTACTTAAATGCAAACGGATAAAATTAACACGAAAGACACAGACGGTGTGGGTTTCTCCCCCACACTCCTGTTTTTCTTTTGCTGTAACGTTTGCCATTTAAAACTTGATCCTTTTAAATCCCCAGACCTCAGGCAAACTATTGAGAGCAGAAGTTTGTCAGCACAGAGTAGCTGTGAAACACAATAGAGCTGTTAACATCATTAAAAATGATCCCTAATAAACAGCAAATGTAATAGATTTTTTTAAAATCACAGTAGAGTTAAAAGGAATGTCGAACTGTGACATTTTTGTTGTATGAAAACTAAATTATGGAGTATGAAACTAAATAATGCTGAAAAAAGAGATTAATAAATAAGTTCACCAAATGAAACGAATTCAACATATCTCTCCCTTCCCCCCTGAGGGAAATTAGTTATTTGGCTTAAATACGTAATAAAGAAATGCATTATCACAGCCTGGTTCTAGTTTTTAATATAGTCTAATAAGCATTATTAACTGGGATAAGAAGGAAACTGACATTTATTGAATGCCTACTATGCACCAAGTAATTTACATGAGTTATTTTACTTAATCCCCAAGACATCTCTATGAGTTACAGATTATTATTTCCATTTTATAGAGCGGAACTCAGAAAGGTTAAATAATTTGTCCAAGGTCCCACCGTTATTAAGAGTCAAAGCTGGAATTCAAACCCACGTGTGGCTCTTTCCCAAAGCCTGGAGTTTCGACTCTATGACCCGCCTTGATCTAACAAAAATACGTGACTAGCGTAAAAATTAGTTATGTACTTAGTTATGTACGTATTTCTCATCTTTTTTGAAAAGAGACTTAAGGTACTTAAAGTGATACATATGCAAACAAGATGACTCAAATTGAAAATGAGTAAGAAAGAATGAAAACAAATTAAATAGAATCAGGAAAAAAACTTTTAATACACTCATAGCTAAAGTCCAATACTATTGTTGCTCCAGGCAGACCATGAATTTGCCTCTAGTCTTTTCATTAGGCAAGGTGAGAGGGGAAACCTGCCTGGGTACACAAGTACAACAGCCTTAAGATAAAACAGCAGGAAAAGCCCAGAACATTTTGGAATACAATGCACTCTGCTGTGCAGCCAGCCCTCTTCCTGGTGCCGGTGCAGCCGAAGGAAACGCATCGCGCCACTGCCGACTGCAGCATACTCAACCTGCAAAATGGAACGAAGCCTTGCCAGGTGCTTCGAGATCCTCAAATAAAATGTTATTCTTTTAATCAGTCCAACCTCCTTCCAATTATTACGAAAAAGTTTGGCAAGATAAGGGGCACTTAGAAAGGATTTCAAAACAGTTCTTAACAAGCAACTTGGCACTTATTGGCATGAGGGCATGCAGTAGGAAGTAGTAATTGTAATTACGATGTCATATTACTTCATAACCACTGTTTTATTCACATACTCTTACTCGTAAACTGTTTTTTTAATCAACACTAATAAAAAGTTGAGTATAAAACTACATCCTCAAATCACACATCAATCATACGGCGTGTGAATCAGCATATTTCTTACAATGATGAAGTTATCACATCTTAAAGCATGAAAAGAAGTTAACCCGGAGCCTATAAGAAAGCAGTTTGTGAGCAAGCAATTCTAACTGAAAATCTAGGAAAAGTTCTCCAGGCAAAGTAACGGAAAAGGTACCATGCATAACGGAAGGTCACCATCACCTAGGGACATTTTAGTAGGGAAATAAGAGAGGTACACAACAATACTAATGAGAGTTAGTATTTATCAAGTGCCTTACAATGATTACATGTTATAGTCAAAGTTCTCTGTTCAATACCACAATTGTCTGGCCTCGATACCTATGCTTTTAATTATTACCCTATAGTGTTGCCAAAATACGTTTCAGTGTGTAATAAATGCCGTAGAAGGAACAGTCTGCCTTAAGGATCCCGTAGAGAATGAGAAAAGGGGTCGCCCCGTTAGAGTGATGAGCGGCAGAGTCTGAGGTGCGTCTCCAGGACGGGCCGTATCTGGAAGGCAGGGCATCTCCCCAGGCACGACGGAGAGGGTTAGAGAGGTACGCTTGTGAGGACGTGGGGCAAAGCATTGGAGCTTTATTTGGCAAACGCCAAGGAGCCACTGAGGAAAGCGATTTGTTTGTTTTAAGCAGGGGAGCAGAAAAGTAGGTTTCTAGGAAGAACGATCTGGTCGCCCAGCACGAAATCTTCTGAGAAGAGGAGACAAATAAAGAAGACGAATTAGGAAGGTGCCAGGAGAGATGCAAAGGAGAGGACGACGGTGCGGGGCGCTGGGGAAGAAGGGCCGGCGGGACTCAGCTGAGCGTGGGGGCGGGGCTGAGCGGTGGGCGGGGCTGAGCGCGTGGGCGGGGCTGAGCGCGTGGCAGGGAGGCGAAGAGCTGCCTCGCGCGGCTGAGGCCGTGGCCATCACGGAATACCAAGACAGCCGCAGAAATGCTTTGCTCAGTGCCCATTACGTTTCAGACTGTGTGTACGTGGCCACTCGGTTCTAACAATTTGACACTTTATTTTAACAACTCCCTTGCGAGGTTATAATCTCCACTTTGCAGATGAAGAAACCAAGGTTCCGAGAAGCTGAATTCCTTGACAAAGAATGGATTCAAAAACTCTTATTTTAAATACATCGCAGAGAATGAAGGAAGTTAAGAGGAGAGGCTACCATAGGTGACATAGAATAAAAATTAGAATCTTCTTCCATTTGCATTAAGGAACTTCTAAAAATAGATTCTGCGGGGACCCCCCCACACAAACACGTGACCGCCATACCGTGGGCTGTGACGGTGGGTGGAGGATGCTTTCCTGTACCTTCCACAGCTTGGCAGCGTTCGAATCCCATAGAGATTTAACAAAGATGTGTTGAATGAATGATGCCAGCAACCACACGTGCTGCATTTCTTCAGGATAATAACTCAACACCACTGACTCATGCTTCAAGGACGAGTCGTTACCAAAATTTGACCAACTAGCAAAGTAACGCCCAATCCAACTACATTCGAATGCCTACGAAGTCGCCTCACCGTGTTCACCTCTGTGTCAGGCCTTTGCTTACTCTGAGGGTTGTCGTCCACACTGCATGAGGAGCCGAGCAGCACGCACCAGCTTCCTCATCACGACACGCAGAGCTGGGTGCAAGAACATGCGAGGAGCCCGGCCCATTCTCAGCAAACGTCATGGTGGCAAAGGGACGGGTCCCCTGGCATGGTCACCACCACGTGGTTCTCTGTCATCCAGCAGACGCTCACCTATTCATCTTCCTGGGTATCTTTGATTCGGTCGTCGTCTTCTACGGGGAAAGGGACCGTCCTCGCCCAGAGAATCAGGGCCAGGGTTCGGAACCAAAGGGCACGTGACACAGCTGGTGGCAGCGGGGCCCCTGCCCCAGGGCTCGTGTCCTTCTCCTGCCCTCCCTCCTTGCTCCCCGTCAACGCTTCCGCCCTTTTCTTGACCCGTTCCCTTGTTCTTCCTTTTCTTCTGTCCCCTCCCAGCGTGGTCCTGTGTCCGGGCCTCACTGGGCAGCTTCGAAGTGGTGTTGCGCCCACCGCCCTGCGCGTAGCACTGAAGTCCTGTGTCAGAGCAGGGGCTCTCACCCCGGGGCCCACCAGGGAGCTCGGGGCTTCCGCGAGCCCTCGGGGCTGGACACAGAACCTGGCAGCACGTGCGACTTTGCGTTATTCTCAGAGCAGCGTCGGGTCCTATGTTTATCGGCATCTCAAGGGATTTCAAGACCCGAAGAGGTAACACCCACTGCCTTGGATTGTGGAGTAAGACAAAACGGGCGATGTGCCACCTAGGAAGACCAGGTGCTATAGGTTAAAAAGATGAAAAAATAAGGATTGTAAGCTGACAAGGTCCTTGCAATCTGTAAGGTCAACCAAGAGTTGCCTCACCTAAAAAAAGAAAAAAATGGGGCGGTGGGACATGGAGCCAGAGAGGTGACATCAAACAGGGGAAGGAGCTTTCTCTGAAGCGACTTTTGGGGGTTGGCCCTGCGTGATGAGAAGCCAGACACGGCTAGATCCTGCGAAGGACAACCGGGAAGGCGGGGTGCAGAGGAGCGGGTGGCATTCGCAATGGTCTTGAGCTCGGGCTGGAACTTGAGGGAAAGAAAACCAGAGAGACCTGGAGAGCACCGAAGAGAAAAAGTACACGGAGATGGAGCCGGAGAGGAAAGCAGATGACAAGGGGGCTTTCGGGCCGCGGTCGGGACTGCGGATTCCGCCAGCTGTGTGTGGAATCTCCTGCAGCGTGCCAAGCAGGCCCTGACGCTGAGTACCGAGGCAACAAATATTTTGTGCTGACATACTGTATGCCAGGCACTGCCCAGTCACTGGCAAAAATGCCATTAGTGAGTATGCCAGGCACGGTCCC